AAAATTTGCAGCAAAACAAATACTTTTTTTTTTCTCTCTTCTCTCTTGATGAAAGCTCTCTCAGAACCCACTCTTATGTGCTTAAGTCTTTCAAAGACTTGTATCAATGAGCATAGAATAATTCTCCAAGGTTGTCCTATATATAGATCATGAGTGGTGCTTTCTCTTAAAGCCAAAACCCACTCAAAATAGGAATAAACCGAATCCAATTCCAAATAGGATTGGAAACCAAAAGAGAATAGGATTAGGACATTGGGCCTGTGTCTTCAAGTAAAGGAACTATTGACAGGCTTCATGCCTGCCAATTTTCTACAAAATTCATGTTTATCTGCAACCATCGCCTTTGTCAGCATATCCGAAGGATTTTCATCAGTGTGTATCTTCTCAACCTCAAATAATTTCTCTTCCACGGCCATTCTTATCCAATGATACTTTCTATTTATATATTTGGTCTTAGAATGAAAAGTGGAGTGCTTGGTGAGACAGATAGCACTCTGATTATCACAAAATAAGATGTACCGTGGCTGCTCAAAGCCAAGATCATTAATAAACTCCTTCATCCATAATAGTTCTTTGGCACCTTCTGTGACAGTAATATATTCGGCTTCTGTGGTGGATAGAGCTATGCACTTCTGTAGTCTAGATTGCCAAGAAACAGCTCCCCCTGCAAAAGTGATCAAATAACCGGAAGTGGATCTTGAATTATCAAGATTGCCTCCTAAATCAGAGTCTGTGTAACAAACAAGTTCAGGCTTGCCATTGCCAAAGCACAGCTTCAAATCTGCAGTACATTTTAAATACCTTAATATCCATTTTACTGCATCCCAATGTTCTTTTCCAGGATTGGAAATGAATCTGCTAACAGTGCCAACGGCATGTGCAATATCTGGTCTAGTGCAAACCATAGCATACATCAAGCTACCAACGGCAGAAGAGTAAGGAATACGAGACATCTCCTTTTTCTCTTCATCAGTAGATGGACTCTGACTAATACTCAATTTGAAGTGTTTAGCAAGAGGAGTACTAACCACTTTTGCATCTGTCATATTGAACCTCTTGAGTACCTTCTCAATGTATTGCTTTTGGGACAGAAATAACTCATTTCTATCTCTGTGTCGGTGGATTTGAATGCCCAAGATTTTCTTTGCTGGCCCCAAGTCCTTCATCGCAAACGATTTGCTCAACTGCTTCTTAAGGACTGCAATTCTGGATTTATTCTTTCCAACAATAAGCATGTCATCCACATAAAGCAATAAAATAATAAAATTATCATCAGAGAACTTCTGGAAGAATACACAGTGGTCTGAAGAAGTTTTCTTGTACCCTTGTTCTTCTATGACAGATTCAAACTTCAAATACCATTGCCTTGGAGCTTGTTTCAATCCATACAAGCTCTTTTTCAATTTGCAGACATAATTTTCTTTTCCCTTAGTTACAAAACCCTCAGGTTGCTCCATATAAATCTCCTCATTTAAATCACCATGAAGAAAAGCAGTCTTGACATCCATCTGCTCAACCTCTAAATCTAGACTTGCGGCTAAGCCTAGAACCACACGAATAGAAGACATCTTCACAACAGGAGAGAAAATTTCATCAAAGTCAACTCCCTTCTTTTGGCCAAAACCTTTAACAACTAACCTTGCCTTGTATCTAGGCGCAGAGGTATGGTTATCTTGCTTTATTCTGAATATCCATTTGTTAGATAAAGCTCTCTTACCTTTCGGCAATTTCACTAACTCATATGTGCCATTCTCATGGAGTGACTTCATCTCATCTTCCATCGCTTTGATCCAATGATCTTTGTGATTATCTTGCATGGCTTCATCATAATTCTCAGGTTCTCCCATGTCAGTCAAAAGTACATACTCATTAGGAGGATAGCGCATGGATTTTTGCTTCTCCCTTGTAGATCTTCTAAGAGAGGTTTCAGGAGCATTCATAGTAGTTACCTGTGCAGGAATCGGTTGCTGATCAATCACAACTTATCAACTGAGCATCCATAACATCTATACCATGATGATCATTTTGATCTTGATCACTATCTCCATCATTGTCTTGGGTTCCTTCATGTGCAATAGGTGCCTTAGCAATTGAAACTGGATCAATATCAACTAAGCTCTCATTACTCTGAGAATCTATTCTTCTCAGCTTTGTTAATATCTTTCAATAGTTTGGTCTTCAAAGAATATTGCATCACGACTTCTAATAAGTTTATTATCAATTGGATCATAAAAAACGATACCCAAACTCATCTTGACCATAACCGATAAAGATGCACTGCTTAGTTCTGACATCCAGTTTCGATCTCTCATCTTTAGGAATATGCACACAAGCTTTACACCCAAAAACTCTCAGGTGATCATAAGAAACATTTTTGGCAAACCAAACTCTGTCCGGGACATCACCATCCAAAGCAACAGCAAGAGATAAATTGATAACATAGGCAACAGTGTTAAGTGCTTCCGCCCAAAATGTATTTGGAAGTTTAGCCTCTGAAAGTAAGCATCTAACTCTCTCAACTAGAGTTCTATTCATCCTCTCTGCCAAACCGTTCAATTGAGGAATCTTGGGCGGAGTTTTCTGATGACGAATTCCTTTTTCCTTGCAATAGTTATCAAAGGGACCACAATATTCACCACCATTGTCAGTGCGAATACATTTTAATTTCTTCCCCGTCTGTCTCTCAGCTAAGGCCTGAAATTCCTTAAACACGCCAAGTGCTTGATCTTTAGATTTCAAAGGATACACCCAGAGCTTACGAGAATGATTATCAATGAAGGTCACAAAGTAAAGTGCACCACCTTTTGACTTTACTTTAAAAGGACCACACAAATCAGAGAGTACTAGCTCTAATAAATCGGGCTTTCTTGAGGGAGGATGGCTATGAAAGGAAACCCTTTTATGTTTGCCAGCTAAACAATGTATGCACCTTTGCAACTTTGCTTGTTTTACTCCAGAAAGCAAACTTTTCTTAGCCAAACACGTAATCCCTCTCTCACTCATATGACTCAATCTTCGATGCCACAATTCTGACAAACTATCACTTTCCACCAGATTTATTGAGTCATTAAGAATAAAGAGCCTTGTGTCACATATAATTGACCAGAACTTGACTCCTCGAGCCACTACTAACGAGCCCTTGGTGAGCTTCCATTGGCCGTTAAAGAGAGCATTATGTAACCTTCATCGTCTAATCTTCCTGCAGAGATCAAATTGAAAGGAAAGCTGGAGCATGCGTCACATCTTGAAGAACTAACGTTGAACCATTATTAGTTTTCAAACAAACTGTGCCAACACCAAACACCTTAACTTCACTAGCATTGCCCATCTTTAACACTCCAGAATCAACATGAGTATAAGATGAGAAAAAATCTTTTCTTGGTGTGACATGTGAGGTAGCTCCAGAATCTACTATCCAGCTCATCTCATGGGATACCAAATTGATGAAGTTTTCATCATAAGCAAAAAGAAGGTCATCTTGAACAATAGCAGCAACATTGTTCTCGTTATTTTTAACTTTCTTTCCATCTCTAGTGTCTTGATTCAACTTGCGGCAAAACCTTTTGATGTGTCCTTTCTTGCCACAGTGGTTGCATGTAACATTATAGTATTTGGACCTTGACTTACTTCTACTTTTACCTCTATTCCTTGAGCCTCTTGTTTTATCTCTCCCCCGGTCTTCTGTAACCAAGATATCTGCTTGTGAGGATGAACCCTGCGATTTTCTCCTTACTTCCTCGTTCAACACACCACTCTTGGCATATTCCATGGTCACCTTACCTCCAGGAGCTGAATTTGTCAAAGAAACACGAAGAGTTTCCCAAGAGTCTGACAGAGTATTAAGAAGCCGAAGTCCTTGTATCTCATCATCAAAATTAACCCCCATTCCAGATAGCTGATCAAGGACGCCCTGAAAATCATTTATGTGATCAAGGATAGGGCTGCCTTCCTTATATTTAAAGGTCATCAATTGCTTTAGCAGAAACAATTTGTTGTTCCCGATTTTTGAAGCATAAAGAGTCTCTAGCTTTTCCCACAATAATCTCGCATGTATCTCGTTCACAATACGGTTGCGAACATTATCTTCAACCCATTGCCGTATATATCCACATACTTGTTGGTGCTCGAAATCCCAATCTTCATCGGATATACTCTTGGGTTTATGAGCTGAAAAAACGGGTAGATGCATCTTCTTCACGAACAACAAGTCTTTCATCTTGCTTCTCCAAACATTATAATTTCTCCCATTTAAACATACCATCTTGCTCATATTCGCCTCCATTCCGTAATAACCCGGATAAATAACTAAGGCTCTGATACCACTGTTATGTCGAGGAAGAGGCAAATCCGACAATAAAGAAGATAAAGAACACCAAATTTTAATGTGGAAAACCCTTCAAATCGAAGGTAAAAACCACGGGATCACAAAGATCCAAAAAGCTCCACTATAACAATAAGAGGGTTACAATAGTTCTCCAAATTGGCTACACAACAAGGGCCAAACACGGAGCAACAATAGCAACAAGAGCAACAACTAATCAATTGAAGAAAGAGTATAATCCACAAAACGAAGCTGCTGTTCGAGGCTCGAAATCAGATGCTACGAGCCTCCAAATCCGATCTTCACCGTTCAGATCCAAGACCAAGATGTTATGAACACTCAGCCAAAATTTCAGCCCGATCCAACGGTTAACGAATCAGAAAATGTAATTTGAAGTTGGCTGGTCGGAATAAAAATCTGCAGCAAAACAAATACTTTTTTTTCTCTCTTCTCTCTTGATGAAAGCTCTCTCAAAACCCACTCTTATGTGCATAAGTCTTTCAAAGACTTGTATCAATGAGCATAGAATAATTCTCCAAGGTTGTCCTATATATAGATCATGAGTGGTGCTTTCTCTTAAAGCCAAAACTCACTCAAAATAGGAATAAACCGAATCCAATTCCAAATAGGATTGGAAACCAAAAGAGAATAGGATTAGGCCATTGGGCCTTTGGCTGGACAACATGGGCATGTGCCCAACATATATTACATCTTCCTGATAATTTACTGTTTTTACTGATACAGTTCTAAATTTGGTAACCTGGGCGTAGGGATGGCGAGTAGCCGCTTGTTTTTCTTAATGACAATGCCATGTCCTTCTGAAAGATCAAGCTTTTCCCCCCCGGGGAGTTTCCAATCAAAAGAATGCAACAATGAAGCCAGTACAAACATAAGCATTTTCTCTGCCAAAGGAAGCCCAGCACAAATTCTCCGCCCTGATCCAAATGGAAGGTACTTGAAATTATTGCCTGTATAGTTTAAATTTGTAGATCGACTCAAGAACCTCTCAGGCTGGAATTTAGTTGGATTTTCCCACACTTGAGGATCCATATGAATTGCATAAACATTCAAGAATACTTTAGTTCCCTCAAGTATTGTGTATCCGCCTACTGTTGCAGATTGGCTTGGGCGCTTAGGGAGAAGTAGTGGTAATGCAGGGTGTAGACGTAGCGTTTCCTTTAAAACTGCATCAAGATAGTGTAGTTTTAGCAAATGGGATTCTTCAACAGTGTTATTCATGCCTACCACATGTTTCAATTCTTGTTGCACCTTTGCCATTATCCCTGGATTATTCAGAAGCTCGGTTATTACCCACTCGACCATCGTGATTGTAGTGTCAGTCCCACCTATCACAATGTCCTACAATGCAAAAACATATATGAAGTCAGGGGATAGAATTTGAGGATGTTTGATTCAAATGGCATTCAATATTATTCGAGAATTGATTAGTCATCTTAGTTAATCCTCAACTGATTTCTGTTACAAGTTTAAGGAAGAACAAGACAGGCAATGATATACAAAATATATATAGGGACTGTATAACTTACCACCAATATGGCCTTTATTTTCACCAAGTCCAACGATATTCCAGTGTCTTTCTGCTCCATTAGCTCTAGTAGGATCTGCATAAAATCCTTCTTCTCATTCCCCTGGATTTCGCCCTTTCTTTTGTGCGAAAGCATCTTCATACGTTCGTTTAGGACAGGTTCCAATATACTTTCAACTGACTTCAAAAGAGCCTCCATCTGTTTCTTTATTCCTTGTAAATCAAACCTGGCAAGCATAGGGAAGAAATCAGATATGTTTGGCTCTCCAATCAGTTGAGGAATTTTTGTCACCAATTCCCTAAACTCTGCTCCAACTGTTCCATGCTTCTCCATCTACTCAACAAAATTGCTGCCAAATACCATACTAATGACTACATTAATTTCAGTTACAAAAGCCAATTTACCAATATCAACGGAGTTGCCAATCTTCGTATGCACGCTCCTGATTGCCTTTCTGATCTCATGTTTGCGATGACTATAACAAGCCTCAAAGTTCCTATTACTTAGCATCTCCCTCACGAAGAGTTTGCGTATGTCACGCCAGTAGGAGCCATAGGGAGAAAATACAATGTCTAGTCCACCATATGTGGCCGCCAATCCTGCAATTGGACAGTCACGGTTGGCAAAAATAGAGTCTTGATCACAAACCACTTCTTTGGCTAAGGATGGTGAGTTCAACACAATGCATAGTTTACTTCCTAGCCAAAACTTGTATATTGAACCATACTGTTGAGACAATTCTGTAAGCTGGTTATGCAAATTGGAGCGGAGAAATGTTAAAAATCCCACGATTGGTAGACCACGAGGCCCTGGTGGCAACCTGGATTTTTCGTTCTTTGATATATTTGATGTCCATTTGTACCATAGGATAATCAGGGACAAAATTAAAATGACGAGAGGTGCAAGACCAAGCTCGTTTAACAGTGCTAGAATCATGTTTACGGGGAATATTGTTCGAGCTGTTCTAATACCTCAAAATGAAGTAGTAATTTATAATCTTTATCTCTAAGCATGTGATATATATCTAGTTTTGGGTGAAGTCATGTTCTTGTTTGATGCAATAAAGACATATTTCCAGCTTGTGAGGCCAAAGGGTCTTTGATAGATTTGGAAATCCAGGCGTAGCTAAGTGCTAAAAGAATTCTAGTACTTAGCGTCATGTTATATTTTATGCTGCGGTCACGACAAGTTTTTATATGGACAAGTGTAGGGTCTAAAGTAGATGGAAAATGTATTGTTTCCTTTTCACTATGCCTAAGAAAGGATCTTTATCATAATTTTCGACATTTTAGGTAAGATGGTATCCATTTAAACCACGGCAGTACAGCAATTTCAGAATTATAAAATAATAGCTTGTTTGAACTTCAACATTTTTAGTGATATTTTATCCAGTTAAACACGGTGTTTAACCAAAAAATAGATTTCTCAATCAAAGTTTAAATTTAGAAAAAAACGGGTTACTGATAACCAGGTTTTACTTCACTTTCACAATGATATATAAGGAAAATAATAAGAATGGCAAAGAAAACTTATTAAAAGAAATAAGAAATAAATTGATGGTCAATTTATAAATTAAAGTCAAGGCTGAGAACTTAGATAAAGCAGAGAAGTAAAGAATATATTTCAATAGCGGAATCCGTCCTTACAAATAAAATTATGTGTCCTTATATATGAGTGTACAATCATAATGGTTTTCTCGCATAATTTGGGTTTATTATGGGCACTAATTGAATTGATTTCCCATTACCACAGATTGCTGTAACTAGGATATTTATAGCTATAAATACCTTATAACTATTCCGATTCCCCTTTGACTAGCGTCTGGCGTGTGTATAAATTAAACTCGTACTTTGTCAAATTATATTATAGAAAGATGTCGAACCCACAGAGATTGGTTTATCTATTCTACAGACGTTTCTTGTTTTAATTACTATTTGAGAAAATCAGAAAGAGTTGAGTTGTAAAATAACTAACTAAAAATGCATAAATAGAGCAGTAGAAAATATTTTGTTTTTTCACAAATATAATAAAAGGTGTTGGGATCTTGACTTCACTTAATATTTTTATTATATAGTAGAATTATTATTCTTCAATTTCTATTTCTCAAAAAGGTATAAATGCCTCTCACGATTACAAATATATATTATTACTCAAGTTGAATAATTAATTGCACTCCTCTCGGTTATACAAATTAATCTTCAAAATAGTAATACTAAAGAACCAGAAATATATGATTGAACTAAAATATGCTCTTGATAGTAAGTCCCTTTCAGTTACCCTACTTGTTATAACTTATTATTACACCATTCGCCTCTCTCGATTACAAATAAGTGTAAAATTAATTATAACATAAAAGAGATAGATGTTACTGAATAAATATTAACATTTATCAATACTAAATTTAACTATATTATTTCTTCCGCCTCTATCGATTATAGAATTAATAAACAGTTAATATGTAGTATAAGATAGATAGATGTTAATAAATTAAATAACGTCTAACTGTAAAAGCAGATAAAAGTTAAATAAATTCTAGCTCAAGAATGTGAATTTGAGGAATAATATCTACTATTATATAGAAATATTAAGATCCGTCTTTCTCCCAACACAAGAAAAGTTACTCCATACTGGAATTAGTACTAACAATGGAAATATTCTTGTCCATTAAATAAGAAAATAGAAAGAAATATTCAAGAAGAATAATTCCCCCTATTTAATTAAAAGCAGGAACTAGAGTAATTTCCTACACTGGAATTTATTTAGAAACAACAACTAAACCACTATTGTGATTTAAAAGAAAAGATAACTCGATACTAGTAAAAGAAATAAAACAGAGAAGCTTATTAAGAATTTGGATTCAGACTTCTAGCTCTAAGCTTTCTCTCTACTGTGATGCTCTTATCTAATCGAGCAACATCTTCTTATATAAGAAAGTTTCATGATGACTTCTGGATTTGGTACTAGATTTCCATGGCAAATCTAGATTTTGCATTTGCAGATATGAGAATTCGTCATTCTAAGTTTAGTTGTTTCGTCGATTTCATCATGACAAATCTAGATTTTGCATTTGCATATATGAGAATTTGAATTCTCGATTTGGTGCTAGATTTCAATGGCAAATCAAGATTTTGATTCATTACAGAGATGAGAATTCTGCAATTCTAAGTTTAGATTTCATCATGGCAAATCGAGACATGGTGCATTGTCACGGTAGTGATGAATCGTAGCTCGATTTCACACTTCTCTGTTGTATTTTTCTTCATGTTGCGCACAATAATTCTACTATAATTATTCCTGCAAAATAAAGTTAAGAATATGGAGGAAACATGATAATTTATATGTTTTTATGAGAGAAATTATGTGGTTAAGATCAGGTAAAATGCACTTATCACCCTTCCTTATTTACTTCCGGTTCATGTATCTTCCTTTTTTTTTTAAAGATCTTTTGTTCATTCCGCCCGCGCCTCTTCTTTGGCAACTATTAGGCCCGGTTCTCTTCCCTGTGGGTGTTTCTCCCGTGCCTTTCCACGCTGTGAGCATGTGATTTTTACCTTGCACGAATTACTCCTACAGATTTCTTTAATTTATGACTTTTTTCTTTTAATTGTTTAATTTGTAAGAATTAATTGCACAAATTTCGTGTTTATTTGCATTTTTTACTGTTAAGCATTTTTAGTTGACTATAATTCATTAGAAAATAGTACAAAAAATTCGCATTGCATTTTGCATTTTANATTAATTTCTTTATTATTTTACAATTTTTGTGAATTTTTGTTAAATTTTTGTGTTAATTGGTTGCATTTTTATTCATATGAAAATACAAAAATATGCACTTGCATTTAGGGATTTAATTTCACAATTTTAGTATTAATTAGGTATTAATTAGTTTTAGAAAAAATTGTTTCTTTGCAACTTTCAATTGTTAATTGTTGCATTTATCTTTAAATAGAGTTTTAAATAATTTTAGGAGTTAAATAGTTTAATTAGGTCATTGTTTTGTTTTAGTATTTTATAAAATCAGAAAAAAATATAAAATACAAAAAATACAAGGAAGACAAAAATGAAAAAAAAAGGACAATTAAAATAAAAGAAAGTGGGGCTTGTTAAGAAGACCAAAATTGGGCCAAAATTGGCCTGGCCCAAATCAAAACCCCTTCAGATCTGCCTATTGAGCCCAAGGCCCATCCCATTAACCCGGTCCAGTCCCCTCCCCTATGAAACGACGTCGTTTCGCCTCCAATTAATCTCATCCGTCTATGATTGATGATCTAACGGATGGGAAACCCACAGCTTTTAATATATATATGTCTGAATGCACCCCCCCCCCCCTCGTCCTATCTCCTCCAAAACCCTAGAGACCGTCTCCCTCTGCCTGAGCCGCCGTCTGCCACCGCCGGAAATCGCCTACGGCGGCGGCCGGCGGCCAATCGCCCTCAAATTCACACTAGAGCCCCTTCTCACCCTCCTCGTCACAAATCCACTTCTAGTGTCCCTCAAACCCCACTGTAATTTCCCCAAATCCTGAAACCCTAGCGCCGCCACTCCTCCGCCGTGTCCGGCGGCGCCACCACCCAAACACCACCAAACTAACACCCAAACACCACCCAAACCCCCTCTTCCCAAATCTATAGCTAATAATCATTGAATATGCCCAGAATTCTTCAAATATTAAATCCGAGGCTCGAGTCTTAGGAGTCCAAAATTGGATCTATGCATACAAGGTCACTCTTCTGCATTTCCTCGTTGTTCAAGCCTGTTTTGACACAAAAGAATGACACTCGTTTGTTCTTCACCAAGAACAAACGTTTGACATGGTTTTGGGTCGAATCAGAGTACCAGTTTCGATTTCGAGCCTAGCCGGTGAGTCCCTTTCATTTTTTTTGTTCTCTTTTTCTTCTTTCTTTTGTTTCATTTGTGATTCACTTTCGTTCTTCTTCCCTATTTGGTTAAGATCATTTCCATCGAGATTAGGTCAAGGTCCTGAACCCAGGACCTCTTTTCTTAGTGCTCACTTTCCCTTTAAAATTTGTTATCTGATTTTCTAAGTTTATTTAGTTTTGTTAATAGCATGTTTAAATCTTTGATTTCTTGTTCTGGTCACATAGTTTAATTTGATTAGGTTTATTTTGATAGTTCAATTAGTTCCCTGTTTGTTGGTGATCGTTTGATTAATCAATTTGTTTGGTTCCCTTTAGTTTTCTGAATTTGTCTTGGTGTTACTTTGCCATTTGGGCTTTGAGGTCATTACAGATCACATTCTCAGGGAATCTTGCTTGGCCTGAACTTGAGGCCATATCTTTTAAGACATTGAGCCCATTTAGGATCCAATAACCCGCACCCACTGGACCCAGGTTGGTCTTTAGTGTAAATACAGGGTGCTTCAGGGGTAACTTGGGTAATGTACTGAGAGAATCTCTCAAGTAACTGCCCAAGAGGCTTCCTAGAAACTTCTAGTAGGGGTTTGCTAGTAAATTTTAGGTTTAACTTGGGTGGCAAGTCAAGAATTGAAGGACTAACTAGCTAAAAAGAGAAGTTAAAAGGACTAAAAGGGTAAAAAAAATAAAAGCTGGAGTTTGCCCTAGTAACTTGCTTATAAAGGCATTGTTACTTGGGGTTCAATTCAGAGGGGAGGAGCCTAAAAAACATACTGAAAAGCTTCTGCAAACAGGAGGCAACAAAACTCCAAAAAATCACTATTCTATTGGAATTTGTAGGGTAGTTTGAAAGCTCTCAGTTCTGAAATTAAACTCCAGCTTATCCTATGGTTGAAAATGGCTTGAATTTTCGGGTATTTCTGTAATTGTGGATTTCTGAAGTTCCTGGGGTCATTTCTGGGTTTATTTGAGTTGATTCAAGCTGGTTTTGGGTTTTCACTGGTGATATTCATTTGAAATTGATTACTGGCTGCATAATATCATTTCTGGGTTAGAAAATCATCCAAAGCTGTTGTTGATTGCTGTGTACTGCTGCTGACTTTTTCCTTTTTGTTTGCCTCAAATTCCAGGTACTTATTTTAGCCTCAAATGACTTATGAATGCGAGTCTGATGTATAGTCAAATTGGAAGAAAAATTAAAGTGCAAGCTGTATTTTACCTTTGTTTAAATACAATGCAATTTTGTATTCATTTGGACACTATAACATGTACATTGATAGGACTGTATGGACTGTGACTTAACCGACTGTTATATGCTATAGAACCATACAAATACTCTGTTGAACAGTGTTAGGCTTAATTCGTGTTAGTCCTGTTATCATGTTTGATAATCAAACTTAAAACATGATTTTAGTTTGATGAAATTAGCCAGTTCATCACAAGGTTTCGTTTGTTACATTGTTTACTCAAAACTAGAGAGGACACCAGTGACTACCCATAAATTTACATGTCCATAATACAGATGTTAAAGGGTAGGCTGTTCGAGTTCCAGGTTATTTGTATGCTTTTCACTTGAATCGTGCACGATTGCCTAGTTTTAAAATTAATGGATCCCTTATTACAATAACTGTAAAAAGAGTTTAATAGGCCAATTTGAAATCAAGATTGCATTTCGTTTAATTCACAATAAAATCGGACATCCTGTGTCCGGTGAGACTTGGGCTTGGTCAGGTGATAAGAGCCCAATTACAATTGGCTTCATAAACTGGAGCATAGCATAACTCCACAAATACAATTCACTCTCAATTTGGGCTCCTGAATAAGCCCACTGTTTGATGGACTCTCGTCCAAAGTATGCTGAAATTCATTATTGTGGAATTGGTTTAGATGCCCTACTTCATAGTTTAATATAATATAAATTTGGGCTTTCGAGTTAGGTGGTGGGTTTNGGTTCATGTATCTTCCGTTTTTTTTTTAAAGATCTTTTGTTCATTCCGCCCGCGCCTCTTCTTTGGCAACTATTAGGCCCGGTTCTCTTCCCTGTGGGTGTTTCTCCCGTGCCTTTCCACGCTGTGAGCATGTGATTTTTACCTTGCACGAATTACTCCTACAGATTTCTTTAATTTATGACTTTTTTCTTTTAATTGTTTAATTTGTAAGAATTAATTGCACAAATTTCGTGTTTATTTGCATTTTTACTGTAAGCATTTTAGTTGACATAATTCATAGAAAATAGTACAAAAATTCGCATTGCATTTGCATTTAGGATTTTATCTTATTAATTAGTAATTAGGATTTCACAAATATATATAAAATCACAAAAAATGAGTTATTTTTGCTTTGTTTAATTTGTAACTTTGATTTTGGTTAGATTTCTTTTAAATTTGTTATTTAATTAATTTTATCAATTATTAAATAGATTGGGTAGGTTAATTTAGTTTTAGAATTAATTTAGATTTTTAAGCTTTAATTTGAAAAGAAAAAAGAAAACAAAATCAAAAGAAAATTGAGTCTCTTATTTTGAAAGACCCAAATTTTGGGCCAATTTCTGATTTAATTCATCAGCCCAAACCAAATTCCCCAAAACCCAATGCTCACCGGTCAAGCCCAAATACACATTAACCCGGTCCAGACCCCTCCCCTATAAAACGACGTCGTTTCGCCTCCAATTAATCTCAGCCGTCTATGATTATTGATCTAACGGATGGAAAGTCCACAACTTTTAATATATATATATGTCTGAATGCACCCCACCCCCCCTCTCGTCTATCTCCTCCAAAACCCTAGAGACCGTCTCCCTCCGCCTGAGCCGCCGTCTGCCACCGCCGGAAATCGCCTACGGCGGCGGCCGGCGGCCAATCGCCCTCAAATTCACACTAGAGNTGCGGGGCCCTCATTAAATGCTTATATTAAAATATTTTAGAAATTGGGCAAGCCATTTAACAAATTTCCATGGCTTCCTGCAAAGATATCAACACGCTAGTTGCTTTGGGCGCGAATTTTAATAATATTACTTTCCTAAACTTGGGTGTGCATTTCATGCAACCCAAATCCAAATCCCAAAACGTTGAATAAGAGGTGTTGAGGATCCGGGTGCATTTCATGTGACGTGATCCAAAAGCACGCTCTTAAACGGCGTTCATTTTCGTAAAAAATAAACTAAAAGCGGTAAATAATCTTAAAAATTGCACTATAGGTTTAAATATGTATAAAAAAACCAGATTTTAGCCATTTATAATAATTTAAGCGATCGTGCTAGAACCACGGGATCCGGGGGTGCCTAACACCTTCCCTCGGGTCAACAGAATTCCTTATTCAGAATTTCTGGTTCGCAGACTCCAATTGGGAAGTCAAAATTTTCCTCGATTTGGGATTTAAGTTAAACCAGTGACTTGGGACACCAAAAGTCAATCCTATCCCAAGTGGCGACTCTAAAAATAAATAAATAATCCCATTTCGAATAATGTCACTTTAAATGGAAAAACTCCCTTATACATTTATCCTTCGGGGTAGGTGTGTAAAAAGGAGGTGTGACACACGCGTCATGCTTCGTCAGCATACTAACATTCCACGTGTAATGCCTTTTTCCATCAATACACACGGCAGTGTACTAATTTCTAAGTCAGAAATCTTTCTGGAATAAACTCCAATGCATTTTCTCAAATTTAGGAGGTTCTTTTGATTGCCCATACGTTGACGAAAATGCTGGACTTTCTTCATCATAGCAATTTGGTAATGTAGTTTGGGATTGTGACACTCTTCAACAAGACAACAAGAATGAAAATTTCTATAGAGTTCCAACTTGTCTGTGCCACAAGTTCAAAGTTCGTAAAAAGAAGTTTATGAAAGGATTGATGCAGATTAGTGTTGTTTATTGTTCTGATAAAGAAATCTTTCCAAAAGTCTTTATCTTGCTTGGTTTATATCCAGCAGCTAACAAATTTAGTGCACAAAAAATCATATGAAAGTTACATTAGTTGAATTCATTTAATCCAATATTACACTTTGATCTTATAAATATTACAACCAGTGGACAAAATCAAGTCAAGCCCCTTTATTCAAAATCTCTAATTCATCTTCCTTATGGTTTCTTGGTTTTACTGATAGAGTTGTAAATGTGGTAACCTGGGAGTAGGGATGGCGAATAGGCTCTTGCTTTTCTTCTTGACAAGTCCAAATCCATCTGAAAGATCAACATTTTCTCCCTCTGGTAGTTTCCAATCATAGGAATGCAGCAATGAGGCCAATACAAACATAAGCATTTTCTCAGCTAAAGGAAGGCCAGCACAAATTCTCCTCCCTGATCCAAATGGAAGGTACTTGAAATTATTGCCTGTATAGTTTAAATTTGTAGAGTGACTCAAGAATCTTTCAGGCTGAAAATTCAATGGATTTTCCCACACTTGAGGATCCCTATGAATTGCATAAACATTCAAGAGTAGTTTAGTTCCCTTAGGTATTGTGTATCCGCCTACTATTGCAGATTGGCTTGGGCGCTTAGGCACAAGCAGTGGTAATGCAGGATGTAGACGCAATGTCTCCTTTACAACTGCATCAAGATAGTGTAGTTTTGGTAAATGGGATTCTTCAACAATGTTATTCATCCCTACGACATTTTTCAGTCCCTTCTGCACCTTTGTCATTACCTTCGGGTTATTCAGAAGCTCCGCCATTACCCATTCAATCATCGTGATTGTTGTGTCAGTCCCACCAATCACAATGTCCTACAATGCAGAAACATATATGAAGTCATGGAAAAGGAATTTAGTCGTTGCCGGTATTTGAAATGCCTGCTTCTACCCGTAGGGGGATGTGGCATTCATGTTTCAGTATATATATGTGCATCTTTTTAAGACTATTCTAACTAATTATGTGATTCATGCATCTTGATTATGAACTCAAAACATTCTCATTTTTCTTCACTATTTATCACATTGATTCTGCATTCAATAAACAGTGGTGTTCGTGCAAACTTGCATGCACCTCGACTAATTTCATAGGGTACCGGCTACCTCCCACCAGTATAGGTACTGGATAACTCTGCCTACCATATCTTAGGAATATAGAAAGAAATCACCTACTAACATTTTTTGTCTCTGCTGAGATTTGAACCTTTGTTTTCAAGGTTTGCACCCACTTCATTGGTCAATGGCCGCTAGGCCACACACTCTTGGGTGCTTCAATAGACATGATAAATAAGTTTGTATGACTGTAAAATCTTTAGATTGATTTCTCGTAAACTAAATAATGGAATTCTTAGGACAACCAATTTTATGGAGACAAGCAATGATAAAAAAATAGATACAGACCATATAACTTACCAGCAAGATGGCCTTTATTTTCACCAAGTCCACTGATATACCAATATTTTTCTGCTCCATTAGCTCTAATAGGATCTGCACAAAATCCTTCTTAGCATTCCCCTGAATTTTACCATCTCTTTTGTCCGAAAGCATCTTCATGCATTCGTTTATGGCAGGGTCCAATATACTTTCAAAAGACTTCAAAAGAGCCTCCATCTCTTTCTGTATTCCTTGTAAATCAAACCTGGCAAGCATAGGGAAGAAGTCTGATATGTTTGGCTTTGCCAACATTTGGAGAAATTTTATCACCAATTCCCTGAACTCAGCTCCATCTTTTGCATGCTTCTCCTTCTCCTCTACAAAATTACTGCCAAAGATCATACTCATGACTACATTCATTTGAGTTACAAAAGCCAATTCACCAATGTCAATGGGGTAGCCAATCTTGGTATGCACGTTTCTGATTGCCTTTCTGACCTCGTGTTTCCGAAGACTATAACAAGCCTCAAGGTTCCTGTTGCTTAGCATCTCGCTCACAAACAGTTTGCGCATATCATGCCAGTAGGAGCCATAGGGAGAAAGTCCATTATCTAATCCACCATATGTGGCCAGCAATCCTGCAATAGGAGGGTCACGATTTGCAAAAACGGAGTCTTGATCACGAACCACTTCTTTGGCTAAGGATAGTGAATTCAACACAATGCATAGTTTGCTTCCTAGCCAAAACTTGTATATTGGACCATACTGTTGAGACAACTCTGTAAGCTGGTGGTGCAAATTGGGGCGGAGGAATGGTAAGAATCCCACAATTGGAAGGCCACGAGGCCCTGGTGGCAACCTAGGTTCTGTCTTCTGCGGTATATTTGATGTCCTTTTGTACCATATAATTGTCAGGAACACAATTGAAAGGGTAATACCTGCAAGACCAAGCTCGTTTAGAGGTGCAAAAGCCATGTTTAGTGGGAAGATAGTCTTAGCGCTGCTTCTAATATCAACTTCTGAAAGGAAGCCAATTATCAATATAGAAGCTAATTTTTCCATCCATATAGATAAGGTAAGAACGGTTGAAGGCAAATGCAATAATAATGGAGTACTGACAACATCAAATCAAAAGAAAGTGACTTTTAAAGCACATGTTGTCTTAAAAGTCCATGTACAAGGCTGTAATGGAAAGAGGCATTTTTTTACTCTATAGTAGGACCTTTTGGAACGGAGAAGTGGTAAAAACCCCAGGATTGGTAGACCACGAGGCCCCGGTGGCAACCTGAATTTTTTGTTCTGTGAAATATTTAATGTCCATTTGTACCATAGGATAGTCAGGGACACAAATAAAATGGCGAGAGCTGCAAGATCAAGCTCGTTTAACAGTGCTGAAATCATGTTTACAGGGAGTTTTGTTTGAGCGGTTCCAATAACCTAAAAATGAAGTAGTTTAATTTTTATCACTAAGCATGTAATACATATCCAGTTTTGGTCAAGTCATGTTCCTGTTTGATGCAATAAAGACATATTTTGTGATACTTGTATACATCTAAAACACGGCAGTGTAGCAATTTCAGAATGAACAAATGGTTCTGCTTAGAACTTCAATATCTCAATTTCAGAAGCTAGAAAATTATCTTTCATATATTTTTTTGGATTTTCCCCCTTGAAAGATTTCAGAAGACTCAAATTTGACCTTTTAGCCAAATCATATACTGTTGAGTTTGATAATTTTGGCACTTGCATTGCGAACGGAGGTATCTTTTTCCTTTAGCACAATTTTAGAATGTCTGAATTATGGAGTTATCCTCCTTTGATATGATCATTACATTAAAAGTACATATTTATTTAATATGCAAGGTACATTAGTTGAACTTCATTTACCTATTGTCCAATATTACACTTCGATCATATGAATATTACAACCAGTGGGCAAGATCATGTTAAGCCCCTTTCTTCAAAACCTCTATTTCATCTTCCTTATGGTTTCTTGATTTTACTGATATAGTTGTAAATGTGGTAACCTGGGTGTAGGGATTGCGAATAGGCTCTTGCTTTTCTTGATGACAAGTCCAAATCCATCTGAAAGGTCAACTTTTTCGCCCTCTGGGAGTTTCCAATCAAAGGAATGCAGCAATGAAGCCAATACAAACATAAGCATTTTCTCTGCTAAAGGAAGGCCGGCACATATTCTCCTCCCTGATCCAAATGGAAGGTACTTGAAATTATTTCCGGAATAGTTTAAATTTGTAGAGTGACTCAAGAACCTTTCAGGCTGAAATTCCAATGGATTTTCCCACACTTGAGGATCCCTATGAATCGCATAAACATTCAAGAATACTTTAGTTCCCTCAGGTATTTTGTATCCACCTACTGTTGCAGATTTGCTCGGGTGCTTAGGGATAAGCAGTGGTAATGCAGGGTGTAGACGTAGAGTCTCCTTTAAAACCGCATCAAGATAGTGTAGTTTCAGCAAGTGAGATTCTTCAGCAATGTTATTCATCCCTACAGCATTTCTCAATTCTTGTTGTATCTTTGCCATTATCTCCGGATTATTCAGAAGCTCCGCCATTACCCATTCGACTGTTGTGATTACAGTGTCAGTTCCACCAATCACAATATCCTACATAGCAAAAACATATATGAAGTCAGGGGAAAGGAACATAGTCATCTCAGAAATTTAGTAATGTTTGATTCTAGCTGTAAGGGGACGTGACATTCATGTTTAGGTATGTATATGCACCTCTTTTTTTGTAACACCCCTGACTTTAGACAGAGTCCCATATCGCAAAACACAAGAGAGATGCTTGGTATATAAGTTAACAAGCCTTACAAGAGGTGCATATACATACCTAAAGCGGACAAGTCCGCTCTTGGCCTAGACCCTAGTAACAACTCAAATGTATTCTCATTTTTCTTTACTTTCTTATCACATTGATCCTGTATACAGTAAACATGATTAAGCAGTTTGTATAAGGCTGTTAAGTTTTCAGACTTCTTTTTGGTAAAGTATTATTATGGAATTTCAAGATAACCAAGTCCAAAGAGACAAGCTATGACTTAGAAAAGATATAAGGACCATATAACTTACCACCAACATAGCCTTTATTTTCACCAAGTCCAGCGATATTCCAATGTCTTTCTGCTCCATTAGCTCTATTAAGATCTGCACAAAATCCTTCTTCCCGTTCCCCTGGATTTCACCCTCTCTTTTGTCCGAAAGCATCTTCATGCGCTCGTTTATAGCAGGGTCTAATATACTCTCAACCCACTTCGAAAGATCCTCCATCTCTTTCTGTATTCCTTGTAAGTCAAACCTGGCAAGCATAGGGAAGAAGTCTGATATGTTTGGCTTTCCCAACACTTGAAAAACTTTTATCACCACTTCCTTAAACTCAGCTGATCCATCTTTTCCGTGCTTCTCCTTCTCCTCTACAAAATTGCTGCCGAAGATCATACTCATGACTACATTCATTTGAGTTACAAAAGCCAATTCTCCAATGTCAATGGGGTTTCCAATCTTGGTATGCACCTTTTTGATTGTCTTTCTGACCTCGTGTGTACGTAAACCATAAGAAGCCTCAAGGTTCCTGTTGCTTAGCATCTCACTCACAAATAGTTTGCGCATATCACGCCAGTAGGAGCCATAGGGAGAAAATCCAATATCTTGTCCACCATATGTGGCCAGCAATCCTGCAATAGGAGGGTCACGGTTTGCAAAAACGGAGTCTTGATCACGAACCACTTCTTTGGCTAAGGATGGTGAATTCAACACAACGCATAGTTTGCTTCCTAGCCAAAACTTGTATATTGGACCATACTTTTCTGACAATTCTGTAAGTTGATGGTGCAAATTGGGGCGGAGGAATGGTAAAAATCCCACAATTGGAAGGCCACGAGGCCCCGGTGGCAACTTGGGACCTTCTTTGTGTGAGCTATTTTTTGTCCATTTGTACCATAAAATTGTCAGGAATACAATTCCAATAGTGAGAGCTCCAAGACCAAGCTGGTTTGATTGTGCTGAAGCCATGGTTATTGGCTAAATTGTTTCAGCACTTTCTACTTATAATGGATCAGGTCAACGTCCTCCTCAGCATATTATTATTACAATTATATCAGGTCTTGGTTGAATTATTGTTCAATATGTCACTTTCAGCAGCTAGAATTTGGGTTCTGAGAAAGTTTCCAGAAGACTCAATATTTGACCATATACTATTGACTCAGATAATTTTGGCACTGGGACTGCAACCGAAGGTGTCTCCTTTAGCACAAAGTACAGCTTTTTTTTTTCCAGGTCTAAATTCTCTGCATCAGGAAGTTCAAACAATTTAGATTTGAAGCAAGTTATTACGTCACCGGTCAAAAGTTAATCTTTCACACTCGGCTAGAGAAGAAACTAAAAAAACGATAAACCTAATGGGTTGACGGGAGGCTTGCACTATGGGCTATTAGCTTAGAGGTAGAGTGCGCCCCTGATAATAGCGATTGCTTACCCACGGACACCTACGCCTTCTAGGCAAGTGGACAAAGAGAAGAGAGGGGAGCTGCAATTCCAGCACATATTTTTCTACCCTAACTAAATTGAATCTATTTGTCAGCATTTTTAGTTATGGAATATTCACTTTGTCCTTGAGCCGAGGGTCTTCGGAAACAACCTCCCTACTTCCCCAGATCCCACTTGTAAAATTATACTGAGTATTTTATTATTGTTGTTGTTGTTTATTTGTAGAATACACACCATCATATTATCAAGTAATGAATAACAATAAAAGACATTATCTTCCTTAAACAGTTTGGCTTTTTTTTTTCTTTTGGGCATTTTCACCGGTTAGGTGAATATTACTATTACTAGAGTATGCCCAAGATAAATTTGGAGGAGTGGTTACCATGGCAACATCAGTAGTCAGCAACAATTAATAGTAGACGGATAAACAATTAGAGTTAAGCTTAGAAATAACTACAATTTATATTTTTATTCAAAGTAGTAAGTTATAGACTTGGTTTTATATTACTAAAGGAAATATGACACCTTTTTGGTTGGGAAAATGGTTTTCATGAGCAGTTAGTTTGTTCTTGATGATCCCTTCATAGAAAAGAGCTGCATTTACCTAATAACTAGGTTTGATTTATCTCCATGTTGAGTGCCAACTGTTATGTGGTGCCTTCCTGAGATGTCTTGTGAAGGCGTAGGGGTGGCAAAATGGTTCAAAGAAAACAGTTAACCACCCATATTATCCACTAAAAAATGGGTTGGATAATGAATTTTTTAAAAATAAGTCAAATATGGATAAGAACCATATTATCCATTTAGAAAATGGATAACCAATGAGTAACCAATGGATAACCAATGAGTCTAACATTTACGTAAAGCTTCAAATTGGAGGTTTCTCAAGTTAGGGAGACTAAGAATTCTCCAAAAGGTGATCATATACAAGAAGTCATGGGTAATATGGGTAACCCATATTATCCGCCGGTTAACCCGTTTTTTATCCGTATTAAATATGGGTCGGGTCGGGTCGGATAATTGATCCGTTTTTTCATTACCCGTTTTTTGACCCGAACCATATCCGACCCGCCCGTTTGCCACTCCTAGGAAGGCGCATAAGGCAAAAGCAACCTACTTCTGTCTGATTACTCTCCGCCAAACGAAGACCCCCTCCATACGCTAGATTAGACTGTCGGTGCCGTAAAGGAAAGCCAATATCAAGATCACAGTGTGCAAAGAGAGACTTGAATGAAAACTTGCTTGTATTAACGAGAGCAATGATTACGAGAAAGTCAATGTAGTGCCGGGGGGTATAATAGTCGAAGTATCCACCCAGCAATCTAATCTCTGTATTGGTGTCTCGCGCAATTTTATTTTAGCATTTGTATTTCAAGTAGAATATCTTTTTCCACATTAAAGGGAATACCACACGCCCTCCGACAGAGACAAGTACTAAAATATAGTGCAGGCAGAGTATCTAAAGACAAATATAGATTTAAAAGAAGCAGTTGCAACTGAAAACAATACAACCTTGCAGCCATAACAAATTTAAGAATGGTTGAATATGGAGTTATCCTCCTTTGGCAAT